CTAAAAATTTTCCAAAAAGACAACACAACAGATAGTTTATTAAAAATAGGATAATTTTTACCCCAATATTATCAATTTAATTCTTTTATTTTGAAATAATACTTGTTTATTCTGAAATGAACTCATGTATTTTTGATCATGCGCCATAGGACCGTACCTTATACACATTCAAGCATTATAAAATCTTTATTTTTGTCTATATTAAATCAGAAAGATAAAGGTGCACTCAAATATGATAAACAAACATTTTCTGAAAATTTCAGCTAAGTATGCCCATTATTTTTTTTAGAAAAACACTTTATCCAAGATTTTACCGGACAACCCTCGTATGTGATATGTGTACTGAGGACTTACATTTGTGAAGTTAGTTAGAGTAGTCACATCAAACAAGTTATTTAGTTTTAGTGCTGTGTATGCTGCTCCACCAGCTTGACAATCTCTGTGAAAAATCAAGTATCGTTCTGTTATTAAATGTACAAACTTCTAAAGAAAACATAGTGACGCAAACTGTTATGATCTCAAAATACAATACATTCAGTTAATATCAAGTGATACAAGACGAATCCAACCACAATTTATTGATAACATTCAGACGTGTGACAAATTAGAGCTTTTGATTCTGTGAAATTATGGCAGTTTCTAACACATCCCTCCAATGGTGAAGATTTAATGTTTCACTAATAATATAGCTTAAGGTAGCTACCTAGTCCATAGGTTTGTGATCACCAGTTTTTAGGCTTAACATGCATAAGGTTCATCTCGCTGCATTTCATTTCCGGAAATATGCATAGCATTTCCAACAATTTTTAATTTCATTTCCGACATTTTTTGTTTTCATTTCCGACATAATATTTCTTTCATTTCCGGAATTTACCTGTGCGGCAATTCAATGTTTTCTTAAAGTATTTATACCAAAATATTGATACAAAATAATAATAATAATAATAAAAACAGCTTTACATTTATGCATATATGTAGAACTAAGTCTAGGTAAAGGAGTTCAATGAGCATAAAACTTTTTCAACACATTTAATGTGCACCAAATAAAATGTCAGTGACAGCAGCATACTCATGTCCAAGTCTTTGATAGATTTACAAAACTGGATTTCAATGATTTATTTCTGATTTATTCCTTAAAAATTTTCATAAGTTAAGTTATCAAATCTGTTACTATAGGTACTACGTATGTATTTGAAAAATGTTGGAAATGAAAACAAAAAAATGTCGGAAATGAAAACTAAAAAATGTCGGAAATGAAAAGTTGATAATTACCAAAAATTCCGGAAATGAAATGCAGCCGTTCATCTACCTTCTGACAAGAGAGATAACCCTTTTTGGGATATATTAAGTTGACATTCCTCAACTTGCCTAGCAATTGTATCTACACATGTAATTATAAAATAATACTCACTGCAACAGTCCCTTGATAGTCAGGTTAATAGATGCGTTGTTAAATAAAACTTTACCGAGAAAATACCCCTCAGATGTTCCATACTGAAACTTGTATATCTTGTCATCCACCAGCTGTCAATCAGGAAAAAGTCAATGTTTATGACACACGTAAATTTTCCCAAGGATTAAACACATGTACTTATGCACTATAAAATTTTATTCAGCATTAAGAGTACATTATCTTGCCGGTAGAGTGGACTTTTATTAGTAATCCCATATAGTATTTAACCTAACTTGGCTAATTAATAAAACCAATAGCCACATGTGAGAGATTTTTCTGATCATTCTAAATAAATAAAATATTTTTCATTACCTCATTTAATTATGATAAATGCTAAGCAATGAATGATTTTTTTTTTTTTTTTTACTAATTTAACATTTCAAACTGAAATTTCCAGATCAACATTTTTTTTTTATTTACTTTAAATCTTTGGGACTAAGAAAATGAAAAGTAATAATTTTTAACAGAGTGAAAGAAAATGATACCGTTTCTAGATCATTGAGGGAGGAGTCAGTAAGAGGTTGACAGACAAATCGTTCTAGCGGGCTCCCGACAATAAAGGTCAGGGTCGTCAACATCATCAACAGCCAGGCAAATATAAACACAAAGCCCACAGACCTGCAACAGAAGTTAACATAATAACAATCAAACAAAGGTCAAGGTTGTCAACAGCATCAACAGCCAGACAAATATAAACACAAAACCCGAAGACCTGTAATAGATAACATTATAAAAACAGATTAACAGTCTTTATGGATGGAGATGAGTTACTCAATACCCCAACCCCTTCCTACAGATATGGGATAGGGGGCATTAGGAATTGTTTGTACACTCTTAAAACTTACGCCATGAGCATATTTCCAGCAGCAGTGCCAACACATCCTCTCTCTACTGGTAACCTGTCTGAATTCTGGCTGAATGTTCCAAAACACAGGCCCAGCAGCTGTAACAGGACTATCAATAGGACTATAGAAGTCAGTCCTACACCACCATACCATCTGTAAACAAAGAGATAACATGTAACACAGATTTATTAGATCCTAGAACTCAGCCTTAAAATTACCCCACCATATCATCTGTATAAACAATGAGATGAGATGTAACACAGATTTATTCTAGACAATAGAACTGAGGCTTACACCACCACACTATCTGTAAACACAGCAAATACTGGTTGATATGCTATAAACGAGTCTGAGACGAACAAACCTCTTGTACAAAAGACAGCACATGTATGCAAGGATAGTATTTTACCTGACATTGTAAAATCCAAATTATTCAAAGCTTAATCATGCTCTCAATTTTGAAGATGAGATAATATAGTAATCAACTTAAGTGCAAAGAAAGAGCTCTATATCATAACTGTACCAGATGTACAAAATACCTGTATTTGTCATAGGAAGATGCTGTGTTGACACCATCAGTCACCTGTTTCTTTATGTCTGCTAGAGTTCCATTGGTCTGAAAAGACATTGGCAGTCTTGTATATATACTTAATAGTCATACCTGAACCTAAATTTAAAACAGAAGCATGCCATTTATTTAATCATGTACTTTCAGCTATATATCACCGTTAAGTTGCTTTTGAAATTTTCAAATCAAATTTTGAATTTGGTATTTTATGAAAAAGTTTTCTTAGAGAATGAGTGGATCCTGCGCCTGTTCTCTGGGTTCTGTATAAGTAAACTGTGTGAGATTCAGTATCTGAGTTATGATTGTACTCGCAGAGATTAAGATCCAGTAATCTTTATAGCTCATGACTGATTTCTTATTGTACTCATAGAGATTAAGATTCAGTAATCGTTATAGCTCCTGACTGATTTCTAATGGTACTCACAGAGATTAAGATTCAGTAATCTTTATAGCTCCTGACTGATTTCTAATGGTACTCACAGAGATTAAGATTCAGTAATCGTTATAAATAGCTCCTGACTGATTTCTAATTGTACTAACAGAGATTCACTTATCGTTATAGATCCTGACTGATTTCTAATGGTACTCACAGAGATTGCGTCCTGCATACTCTCGACCTTCTCTATCAGTGGATCTATCTCACTTGAAAAGTTAGACACCATATCCTTTATATCTGTTGAAATAAAATCAATTTTAATTAAAAGTCTTTAATTAAACAGAATCTGTTTCAGATAATATCTGGTCTTATTAAGTGTTTATTTTAAAACATCTTTCCTAAATGTCCTTCCATTGATTTGAAAACCATTCAAACACTGCTTGATAGCATGAGGAAATTAAAAACTGTTGTAATCTACTTTACAAAAAAGTAAAACATTATAATAAACTAGAGCTACAAGGCTAGGATTACTGATACCTGACACTGTGTTTTGGGTCTCATTAGTGACTCTTTCTGGGATGTTGTCAACTTCAGTCTGGGCCTACAAGAACATATTATGTCATCTTTTAATTGAAGTGACTTTGTAACATTTTTATGATAAAGTCATTGCATAATCTTTTACATTTTTCAAAAATAAATTGATTGTTCTTTTTTATAGTTATCTGAATCAAAATCAATAAATACCGGTATAATACCCTAAGGAGACTGTCATCTCTTGTTCAAATGGAACAGCTGTTCAGAGGATAATCATATGATAGATTGAATTGGAACAGAATAAAGCTAAAAAAACATGCTTTGCATTTGCAACCTAAAACTTTTATTGTCATAGGACTTTATTTGCATATATTCCAGTGTGCTAGGAATCAACATGTATGTACAGGCTCTTATCATTTTTATCCTTTCTTTTCTAAATAAAAGTATCCCCATTATATAATGATTATTATAATATGGGGAATTTTTTATTTATGAAAAAAAGTTAAATTAAAACACCAAGTGCCTGTGACTGGCAGGTATAATAATGACAGTGCTGTTAACTATTTATTACAACATTGCTAAGACTATACCAATATAATTATCATATTTTAGAGAGCTACCATTTGACCTGTTTGACATGTTTGATAACAGCATTTTTTTTTTTACCAGTCTGTTTTTTAACAGTATGCCTGCATGCTTGTAACAGTACTAAATTTTATCTGAATTATCTTAACAGTACTAGAAGTATTTTTCTTGTATTATTACAATAGCACTAGTATTTTTCTTGCATTACCATAACAATACCCAGTACTAGTAGTACTATAACAGCTTTCACCTCCACTTGTGAAACAGGAGGAAGATATGGGCCGCAAATTGTGATTTTTTTTTTCTTTCCATGGGTCAAAGTCATAACACACCCTCAGGTCATCAGCAGTCTTAAACTTTGTGTATAATAGGAACTGGACATCAAGTTTATCCGTAAGAAAGATATGGACCGGACATAAATTATGAAATTTTTCTTTCAGTGACCTTGAACTTGCCCAAGTAATCTTGGGTCAAGGTTATGACACACCTTTAGGTCATGAGGAATCCCTATGTGAAGTAGTAGATTCTAATGTTCTTTTGTAAGAAAGAAATGGAATGGACACATTTGCACTGACAGACAGACAGTTGGACAAGGTGTCCTATAACCCCCCAAACTTGCAGGGGGTATAATCATAGGTTTTCTACTTGTCTGTCTGTCCCTTTATAAGTCCTACTCGGTTTTTCACTTTTTTCTTAACACTTACATGTACCAGATTACACTTTCCCATATAAAGGGACTAGTAGTGTTTTTGTTGATTATACAAACTACAGTTATTTACTTGTTTGATTATGCATGTAACAGCTCTAGTGTTCTGCCTTATTATATCAGCTCTAAGTATTCTTCATGTATAAAAGCTGTAGGGTTTTACCTGTATTATTATAGCTGACAAGTTCTGACCTTCCACTGATGATATAGATGACATTGGCCCACTGATGTCTGGAAACTGTAAATACAAATCAATATTTTATGTTATTACTGTATCCAAAACAGTGATTAATCTGAAGAAATTCCACTGTATAAAATAGTCATGTTACCAATTAAGAGCCATTCTCTGTAATGATTTGAAATTTTATATAGGAGCTGTAGCACGCATAGTCTCAGAATTTATCCAAACTCTCTATGATACAAGAGGCCCACGGGCCTTATAGGTCACCTCAGCATTATGCAACAACTTCCCAGTTACAGTGTATTGAATTTGATTCATGTTTTAAGCCAGATGCTATATGGCATTCACAATTTTGAAAGAGGCACCACTGATCATCATAACTACATTTAGCAGTTGCTTAGCTTGGTTACTGAATACCTATACGCAGGGTAGGAAATCAAAAATGCACTCCAACTAATCAGTAATATTCAGCAATAATCAGTAGTGCCCCTAACAATGTGACATAAACCCCTGACATTAGGTCCACACATTGCACAAATTTTTAAAAGGCACCCTTAAAATTGCCTATCAAAAAATAAATAAATGTTTTAAAATACAAAGGAGCATATTTCATACAATTAATTCATTTTCAGTATATAAGTAGAGCCCCCCCCCCCACCCCTGACCCTGGGGCTTGAAATTCACAATTCTGCAAGATTAGGGCCCTTACTCATCATAACTATATAGGTAGTTCATCTGCTTCATACCCAGAGACAGAGAAAATTTTTTTCAAAGATTTAATGTATTTTCACTATATACACGTGTAATCAATAGAGCCCCACTCTAACACCAGAACCCCTGACCCTGGGGCCATAAAATTCACAATTTTGGTAGAGGCATTCTTGCTCATCATAACTATGTACTTAGTTAGTTTATCTAATTCCCAGGAGCAGAGAAGAAGATTTTCAAAGAATTCATGTATTTTTACTATATAATCTATAGAGCCCCGCCCTAACACCAGAACCCCTGACACCCTGGGACCATAAAATTCACAATTTTGGTTGAGGCACTCTTGCTCATCAAAACTATGCACTTAGTTAGTTTATTTAATACCTAGGAGCAGAGAAGAAGATTTTCAAAGAATTCATGTATTTTCACTATATAATCAATAGAGCCCCCCCCCCCAACACCAGAACACTTGACCCTGGGGCCATAAAATTCACAATTTTGGTTGAGGCACTCTTGGTGACTTGGTCATCATAACTATGCACTTAGTTAGTTTATTTAATACCTAGGAGCAGAGAAGAAGATTTTCAAAGAATTCATGTATTTTCACTATATAATCAATAGAGCCCCCCAACACCAGTACCCTTGACGATGGGGCCATAAAATTCACAATTTTGGTTGAGGCACTCTTGCTCATCATAACTATGCACATAGTTAGTTTATTTAATATCTAGGAGCAGAGAAGAAGATTTTCAAAGAAATCATGTATTTTCACTATATAATCAATAGAGCCCCACCCTCCAACACCAGAACCATTGACCCTGGGGCCATAAAATTCACAATTTTGTTAGAGGCACTCTTGCTCATCATAACTATGTATTTAGTTGGTTTATTTAATACCTAGGAGCAGAGAAGAAGATTTTCAAAGAAATCATGTATTTTCACTATATATAATCAATAGAGCCCCACCCTAACACCAGAACCCCTGACCCTGGGGCCATAAAATTCACAATTTTGGTAGAGGCACTCTTGCTCATCATAACTATGTACTTAGTTGGTTTATTTAATACTCAGGAGCAGAGAAGAAGATTTTCAGAGAAATAATGCATTTTCACTATATACTTATTTAGCCCCGCCCTAGCACTAGAACCCCTGACCCCAGGGCCATGAATTTCACAATTTTGGTAGAGGACTCAATGCTGATTACAATCATGCAAATATTTTGACTGCTTGATGTCCAGGAGTAAAGAAGAAGATTTTTAAAGATTGCATTAATTTTAGTGGTTTTGGCCCCACCCCTCAGGCCCCAGGGGGGCAGGGATCATGAAATTCACAATTTTTGTTCCCCTTCACCCATAGATGCTTTGTGCCAAATTTGGTTGAAATTGGTTCAGTGGTTGCAGAGAAGAAGCTGAAAATGTTCAAATGTTAACGCACGATGCAAGACGGACGACGACGGACGAAAACAGATAGCAATAGGTCACCTGAGTTTACTCAGGTGACCTAAAAAGTCATTGATACCCTAAACTGAAATCAGGCAAAAATTGGTTGCTATGCTTTATAGTTACCATGGCAACATGTCTTAAAGTTCGAAAAATGGCATTTTTTAACATGTTTAGAGCCCCATAGTTTACATTTGTGGCAAAGCAAACAATTGGCAATGACTGTTTCCAAAAGTTGAAGGTCAGATATCTCAAATGCATGATAAACATGTTTGGTAAATCAACTATTACATGCGTTACTATGGTAACAAAGTATTCAAAAGTACAAAAAATATTCATTGAATTTTATAAAGTCATACACGTAAAATTAAAAAGCAATTATAGGATGAAATGTGACCAAATAATAGAAAAAAAGAGCTTTGAAACATATACCAAGAACAAAATATGATATTTCATTTTAGTTGGCAATGGTTGCCAAGGTTTTTATACCACAGAGAGCCGTCAAAGTAACACTCTGTATTTTTAAATCTGATCCTATCTTTTAAAAAAGCACATTTCCTCATAACTAATGATCAATTTTTAAAGATGTTGGTGTGCTCCTAGTTTTCCCATTTGAAAAAATTCAGATTAGATTCTTTAAATAGAGCGTTGCTATGGAAATAAGCAGAAAATATATGCTTAAGAACCTGAAAAATATTGTATTTCCTTGGATACGTACCCTTAAATGTAGATTCCAAAAACTTTTATGATTGATATTTATTAACAGCTAACCTGACTTTTAATTTTGACTATCATCCAATCTCTAAGTGGATGCAAGAAGTTGGCACACAGGGTTTAATATTAATATAAAGTTCACAAAATCGAACATTTTCCCTTCTTGGTAACCATAGCAACAGTGTTGTTTTCTTCATCAAGTTTTATCAATATATCGTATTCAACTTCAGTTCTAACAGATAAGTACTATTCAAGCTGAGTCCTTTAATTTGTTTCTTGATTAAATGGCCATTAAATTCTTAATGCAGCGAAAAATAATTCACTTTTAAGCACTGGTACTTTGTTTCCATGGTAACACTGCAAAGTAGCAATTATACCCAATTTTTCTTATGGTTTTGGTGATGCAAGGTCGTAAGGATGCATATTTGCCAGTCTTGAATTTTCATGTTTTTCCTCAAGACAGTAGCATTAACCCAATCTTAGTTACTGGTTTTGCATGGTAACACTGTGTTACCATGGCAACCATAAAAGTTATTTATAGAATAATATTGCTTATACTTATATACTTAAGGTCAATCATTTTCATTGTTTTTCTTAAGTCGTTGATCGAGTTTGAGCATGTAACACCTACCATTAGTGAATACGGAGTGTTTTTCGGCATATTTCAGCATTTTAAATGTATTCCAAATGTACCCTTGGTTACCACTTACTTAGAGATATATTCTAAACAGTTTCTTTACAGTATAAGTGACATCAAGGTGTCATGTTTTTGTAAGAATGGTTTGTTTGCTTTTTCTAGTTTTTATTAAGCCACAGTCAAGATTTAAAGTGGCTGAAAATCTCGATTTTTCAAACTTTTCCGGCTGTTGCCATAGCAACCGTGACCCTTAGCAACAAAATTTTGTTTGATATTTGTTTCTGGTGTCAAGTACTAGGGATGGGTGAAGTTTCATCAAAATCGGTGACCATGCGTGGCAACGAAGTTCAAGTGGTTACGAATGGCTATTAATCCCTTTGAAATAAGGACATTACAGTTAAATATTGGTGTATAATAGATGCTAAATCAATTGACTAGTCAAAGCATGTTCATGTACATTTAACACACCAAATGGTACCATTTATTAAAGATATGAAAAATTAAATGAATTCATATTTAATTCAGTTAATGGACACAAGAAATATAAAAATATCATGATGTATAAAATTCACAACCCCTAACAGCCCTACATTTATTTTATCCATAAGCTTAAAGCAGGATCTAAAAAACAGAAGTCTGTCGAGACTGAAGCTCTACTGGTATGTACTTATAGCAAAGGAAGAGAAAAGTACTTAAGAAGTTGGGAATTGAAACTTTACAACAGCAATAAATAGAATAATGATCCTTGATAAAGTCTCTTTATGTTCTTAGTGTAGTCTACTTGTGTGCCAAGTTATATTGAAATTAGACAAAACTGTAGGAGGAGTAGCATTTTGAAACAATTTAATAGACATTTTTATTTTTAGTAACCACGGCAACACCATTCATGGAAATCAAAAACCGATATACACAATTATGTATCTTAGTGTAGTCTACTTGTGTGCCAAGTTATATTGAAATCAGACCAAAACTGTAGGAGGAGTAGCATTTTGAAAAATTGTTTACAGACGGACGCCAGTCGCATTACTATCGCATAAGCTCTTATGGTCTCTGACCAGTAGAGCTAAAAATAGACTATAAAGAGGCTTACACATTTATTTTAAATTACTAAATTATAACTTTGTGCTTAAAAATACCCCCAATATTGATTAAGACGTCATTTTGATGAAATAATTTTCTCCAAGAACTCACGTCATTTGGATCAAAGCCCATGTTGACATTGGAGGTGTCAGGACACCCTGGGGTTATGGGACAATTTGCACTTGTTAAAGCTGCATCAATGTCAGTCTTGAGTGTAGACAGATTAGAGCTCAGGATGCTGGCCTTCACCTTGACATCTCCCAAGGTCGTGTTTAATGTCGTCAATGCAGAAGCTATCTGTGTCACTCCTATCATGAGAAAAGAGGAAATAGTCATTTCTGACTCAATTATCCTAATATCATTCTGTTTCTTCCTCTTACAAATGACAGCCTTTCACATCTAGACTGTTTTATTTCATTTGATGGTTAACTTGCATTAAAATAACATTTTGCACTAGCAGTGTTTTACAGTGTATTATTCTCCCCTTTTTATTGTGATTTTCAGAAGTAAATTTTACAGATAATAATGACGTACGTGTGACCAGAGCATTGGCAGAAGATATGGCGGTGTCCAGCTGGGCTTCTGTTTTCAGTGCCGTGCGGATCGGAATACCCAGTACGTACCCTATATCTAGACAGAACAATAATACAGAATAGACGTACCCATATATATATAATGATTTTATAATTTCTAAACTTATAAGAATGTGCCTATAATGTTGGGCTAAATATTAAGTTTTTGGTGTGGAAATACTCAGAATAAGATGAATAATAGCTACATTGTATTTGACAGAAAAATATGTAGTTTGTCTTCTCCACAGAAGAGGAAACTAATCCAAATGTACTGGCATTGTGTGTGCACGACAATTCTGAATTAAAACCAGAAGTCTCTGTCAAGACTGAAGCTCTACTGGTTTGAACTTATAGCAAAGGAAAAGAAAAGTACTTAAGCAGCTGGGATTTGAAATTTTACAACAGCAATAAATAGAATAATGATCGTTGATAAAGTCTCTTTATGTTCTTAGTGTAGTCTACTTGTGTGCCAAGTTATATTGAAATCAGACCAAAACTGTAGGAGGAGTAGCATTTTGAAACAATTTTACAATCATTTCTATCTTTAGTAACCATAGCAACACCGTTCATCAAAATTAAAATTAAAATTCGATACACAGAATTATGTATCTTAGTGTAGTCTACTTGTGTGCCAAGTTATACTGAAATCAGACCAAAACTGTAGGAGGAGTAGCATTTTGAAAGAATTTCACAGAAATTTCTATTTTTAGTAACCATGGCAACACCGTTCATCGAAATCAAAAACCGATACACAGATTTATGTATCTTAGTGTATTCTTCTTGTGTGCCAAGTTATACTGAAATCAGACCAAAACTGTAGGAGGAGTAGCATTTTGAAAGAATTTCACAGAAATTTCTATTTTTAGTAACCACGGCAACACCATTCATCGAAATCAAAAACCGATATACAGATTTATGTATCTTAGTGTATTCTACTTGTGTGCCAAGTTATACTGAAATCAGACCAAAACTGTAGGAGGAGTAGCATTTTGAAACAATTTTACAGATATTTCTATTTTTAGTAACCACGGCAACACCGTTCATCGAAATCAAAAACCGATATACAGATTTATGTATCTTAGTGTAGTCTACTTGTGTGCCAAGTTATACTGAAATCAGACCAAAACTGTAGGAGGAGTAGCATTTTGAAAGAATTTCACAGAAATTTCTTTTTTTAGTAACCACGGCAACACCGTTCATCGAAATCAAAAACCGATACACAGAATTATGTATCTTAGTGTAGTCTACTTGTATGCCAAGTTATACTGAAAACAAACCAAAACTGTAGGAGGAGTAGCATTTTGAAAGAATTTCACAGAAATTTCTATTTTTAGTAACCACGGCAACACCGTTCATGGAAATCAAAAACCGATACACAGAATTATGTATCTTAGTGTAGTCTACTTGTGTGCCAAGTTATATTGAAATTAGACCAAAACTGTAGGAGGAGTAGCATTTTGAAAAATTGTTTACAGACAGACGGACAGACAGACAGACGGACAGACGGCCGGACGCCGGACGCATTACTATCGCATAAGCTCTTCTGGTCTCTGACCAGTAGAGCTAATAATTGGAGAAAAAAACAAGGAAATTTATTCTCAAAAAGGACATTGAATTTGAAACAGAACATGAAATATGAATGGACTCCTTGATAAATCGATCTATGCAGCTGTGCCTAATTACATTTCAATAATAGAATACTTACTGTCAAGGTCTCTGGATATCACTGATGAGGTGAAATTATAATTAGATTTCATTACATACTTTGTTTCCTGAAAAGAAATGAAATGTCCCCTGTTACATTTTTTTTTTTTTTTTTTTTTGCTTTGAGAAAAATTAATTTGCATTTTAATATCAATAAAATGAAGTAATCATTTAATTATCCTTTTTATTATTTGATTAAGATCCTCATGAAAATATAAATAATATACTTTGAACATGTACATTTCTATACACTTTACTCTACAGATTGACATATGCTAAACTTTGTTTTGTTTCATCATTTACTTTTTTAAAGCTGATGTCTATCAAACTTTAGGGTAACTGTTGATGCATTGTATACCTTGACTGTGTTAGACACATAGGTGTTAAGATCATCCACATTAGACACAACAACATCATCAAACTTATTCAGGGCTGTAGACATCTGATCATTGGACAAATAGACACAAATCATACCCGCACTGAAACAACAGATTGAAGTGATTAGACACATCTACAAACTTATTCAGGGCTGTAGGCATCTGGTCACTGGACAGATAGACACAAATCATACTCGCACTGAAACAAACCAGGTGATTGAACACATCATCAAACTTCAGATTTCAGTGCAAAGGTCACAGAGGGGGGAGTCATTGGTTGTTCATTATTAAGAAGGAAGCAGTCGCCAACTTGTGAATTTTTTGCAATTAACATTGTTGAAATGAATTCGAAAAGACTATAAAGATGCTATTGATTGTTCACTAATTCATAAATATCTCCCCTTTGAATACTGTATAGGGGATTAATTTCACGGGTTGTAATTTTCACGTTTTTCTCTCATCTGACACGATCGCGGTTTCTTGAATTCGCGGAATAGCTACATGTAAATGACATTCTTCAGCGTTGTTTTTATTTCAAGAACAACAGGATAGGTTTATATAAAATTGATATATTTAATTAATAATTAATTTAAACAAGTGCAGTTATTAAAAGTCCTACACTCTAAACGTCAAATGACTTTCCTGTATGCTATTAGTGCATGTGCACCCAAGATCTTCAATACAACGCGGCGAAAAACCACTGGACGGTTATAAATGTGTTTATTAAGTTCGCCGAAATAATATCTTCCACATCTTCAGTAAGTTCGATATTTATTTGAATGATTTTTTAAAACCAAAATGTTGATAAAAGCTAATATGCATGATAATGCAGGTAACAAATACAAGTGGTAAAATTACGCACGGGTAATCAAAACCCATAGCTAGCCCACGTGTTTTGATTGATGAAACATGTAGCGCTGGCTATTAAAACAGCTTTTGAACAAACAAGAGTTATTATCTGCCGATTTGAATGAAAGTAAAGCGTGATATTTAAAATAATTGAATGACGAGTACTACTCGTAATTACTGAAACGACAATGTACTGCATGTACATGTATATCAACCTGTCGTAGTCAACCTATCATGGTCTATTCTCAAACTTCGAAATAAAACATGGAGATTATTGAAAATTTATTCACTGTTTCTTGAATTCACGGATTTATTTACACCGTGAATATAGCGAATATTAATACCGCGAGTTATTTTCCCCCTATACAGTAATGCGTGGCCCTTCATTTGAACAAACTTGAATTCCCTTAACCTAAGGATGCTTCGTGGTAAGTTTGGTTGAAATTGGCCCAGTGGTTCTTGAGAAGAAGAAAATGTGAAAAGTTTACAACGCCGACGATAACAACAACGACGATGACGACAGACAACTGACAAATCTTGAGCCTTCGGCTCACATGAGCTAAAAAGGGTCTACTATAATAAATTTTGAATACAGAGAAAAAATTTTAATTAAAAGAATCATTATATATTCTAAAAATCTTTCTATTTCAGAAGCATATAATATGGGTCAAAATGATTGTCTTCCTGCAACATTAACACTTTTGGTGACCCTTAGCAACAACTTCAGGAGACTAATGGATTTTGTCGAAAAACACTGCCAAAAATATGGGCTAAGATAGAAAATGCTGATCAAATTCTTGGCCTTCAAAGTGTAAACTGATATATTTACTTTAAGAGGAGGAAAAAAATCTTCCTTTATGATAACATCATAGATGATGAAGCAACAGGAAGTATATCTTATATTAGCTTTTAAGGTCACATATTTATTTGTAAGATATGGTATTTAAGATAGAAAAACTTAACTCTTCGTTCAGATGTAGTGGTTAGTGAAATTATTGCTTCTGTAATACATGTAGTAAACTGTAATTAATTGATTCTTCTGTACCAGCGTACCGTACCTTATAAGGATTCTACAAAGGAATTACCAAGCCCACCTATAACCCATTAAATAAGCAATCATGTCTTGAACCACCTTAAAAAACCCATACATAAAGTATGCATTTTCCTAAATGTTTCAGGATTACAACTGATTTGGATGAGTTCCATTTGAATTGCAATAAAAAAAAGTGGATATAAAAGCTATAATGATACAAAACCTTGTGGCAGCCTAAACATAGGTTCATTTCCTGCCTAGAAGCATAAGAAAGTAGTGTTGTTACGATAGTCGCTGACTATCGAAAAATCGTCGTTTAAAGGCCCAGATCGGCAACAATCGACTGTAAATATTATCATCGATAGATCGCTTTATTTTTCAAGCCGATCAGGTAAAACTTTTATATTCACCAAAGGAACGTCACTCTAATCGGCGGTAAACAAAATGGCGAACGTGCATGGTGAAGAGGTTGACGCCGAATTATATCCATATCTTGGTGCAACACGATCTAAAGTTTGGAGTTTTTTGGCTTTCGGAAAAAGGGCAATTGGCCTCCATACAAAAATAATTTACAGATGGACTCGGTTATTTGTAAATTGTGTAAAAAGTCGTATGCCAATAAAGATAAGTTGAAGTTCGCGGTCACATGTCATTGAATTCTACTCAAGCTGAATGAATAAATTTAACTTTTTTTAATAGTTCAAATTATTGATTACATAATCGATTGTGTTCTTCCGATTCAATTTGATAATCGATAGTAAAATTTGTCCGATTTTACAACACTATAAGAAAGGTTAGATGCATCATGAAATCTGGTTTCCTTTTTTCTTTTTTATAAAATAAATATCCCAGATGGGATTAAGTCAAAGTAATGGAGTGTAAGGTATATTGACTCAGAAAAATTTCTACTGTACAGAAAAAAACATCAGATAAGATCAGAAAAATGACATCAGCCTAACTTCCTGTTAGGGCCTGATTGGGTAATTACATTACCATCTCTTTATGGACAATCAATGAAGTCCTATTGATTTTGTCCTCATTGTTTGGTGAACGGAGAGGAACAGATTTATTTTCACACCTCAGCTACTTCTTCTGCCTTTCATCTTGTCCCACCACATCAAATATTTATACATTCAGTTCAATGCTTTTGCTTTCATAAAACATAGGGAAAGTATCTTGATACAAAAAATATGATTTGTTTATGATGCACTGCAGCCTGAATGCGGAAAACTTTGCTTGACAATTCATCGTAACACACTCACCTTGACCTTTCTCAAAGCCTGACCTTTAATTTGGACAAATATATGGTCACTCTGATATTGAGTTTATTGTGAAGTGAACTAATTAAGTGAATGTTATAACTTGTTTTAATTAAGGACAAACAGACAAAGTAGTGAAATATACTCCCCAAAAAAAGTTTCCTGATGAAAACTAAGAAGATATTTTTATGCGCCTGGATCAATAGATCTGAGGCGTATATATTGTTTTTATCCTGTCTGTCTGTCTGTTTGTTTGTCGGCAAACTTTAACCTTCACCATAACTTTTGAACCAACCATGAAAGATAGAGGCTTCATATTTGGTATGCATACTCCACCAATTAAGTTCTATCAAATGACACCAAGGTCAATGACCTTTTGACCTTGACTGTGGCCTATATGCTAAAAACAGCTTTTTTCTGCAAACTTTAATCTTTGCTATAACATTTGAACCATGACAGATAGAGGCTTCATATTTGGTATGCATATTTTACTAATCAAGTTCTTTCAAATGACACCAAGGTCAATGACCTTGTGACCTTGATTGTGACATATGCAAAAATTAGCTGTTTTGCAAACTTTGTTTCCATCGGGCGCATAGTGTTTCACAAACACATCTTGTTTTGCTAATATTAATAACACACATGTAAATCTTACTCCTTTCTTTTGAACATTAATGTAAAATCTTCAAAACAAGTAGTTAGTACAATGTATTATCATAATCCCCAAACTTAAACATGCTAAATTTCTTTCTTTCATTTTTTTTTCATAAAGCATGCATCTGTACAAACTCAATGTAAATAGGCTTTGAAATCCTGTGATATATCTAGAGCTGGATGTTGTGTTGCAAAATATCCAAACATCCACATCCAGTCTATAAACATTTAAATCTATGTACCTCATAAATTATCAATACATCAAACACTTCCAAAGCTACGTCAGAGAGTCATGGGTTATAGAATAATCATAAACCATGAACAAATCAAAGTTTCCAGGCTCTCTGTTATTACGTAATTACAATCCAATCAATACCCTGTTTATGTTTGTTACATATAAAGAAGACACTAAGTTTAAAGACTTTATAAAGTCACATGATGCAGCTTAAGGTTCAAGTGAGCTTTCCTGATCACATTCTATGTGGCATCAATCTAGCTGTTTGTCTGTCTGTCTGTAAAATGTTTACAGTTTTGACTTAATTCTGTATAAGAACCACTGGGTCAATTTTATCCAAAAATGCCATAAGTTAAAAGTACCTACCCCTAAAGGTAAAGGGGATTCAAGATTGTTTCAATGAAGGGCCATGTCTTTTTTCAAGTTTTTCAATTTCAATATGCAGAAGAATATGTAATGAGGTAAACTTAAATCACCTTGTGAATGCTATAAGAATGAAGAGTATGATGGCATATGTCCTCCTTTTACAATCTGCCTTAGCGTCTTCGTGATTCTGCATCATTCTCCCCCCACAGTTCTTACAACAACAGCGACAGCAGCAAAAACAGAGTCCAATGAGGGGAAAGAGAAAGACGAAGAGAAATCCTATAACTACACAGGCTCCATATCCAGCAAACTGCCTCAGATACTGCAAAAATAAGAGATGACAATGGCATTATTTGTTATTTAGGGATTAAAATATAAACTAGAGGTACTGTGAGCAATGAGCTCACTAAATGATACCCCCCGCCTCCCATATGATTATACATGTGTAATGGCAAAGTCCATGTTTTGCTGTGGCCGGGTGTTGGAGAAACAAACAAGCAAGGGGACCCATATGGGCCACAAATCACTTGAATAAGTTTTGCTTTGCTATTTGTAATATTTTTTTTTATTTCCCTTTATATTGCAATGGAAAGTTGTGAACCCACAGCATGGCCCCACAATAAACTTTAAGGTTCATAAACTGGGGAATTAAACCTCTGCTCACTCATATAAAATGTTGTTTGAACCTTAATGATTTGAGGGAAATGAGGGCCCCCTGTACAGTGATTAAATTCATCTAGGATCGTAGTAATAAGTCTGCCAAAATTTGAAGAAAGTGAAAATGAAACCTGTTTATGATCCAATTTTTTGGTGGAAAATAAATCATTTAGCTTTAATTTGGGTGGATTGTCTTCACTTAAAGTAAACATTATTTTAGTGGTTCTTTCAATTTATTTCTTTTTCAAAGATTTTTTGAAGTTAAAATATGACATTAATTAAATATCATAAAGAGAATACTAAAATAACCGCCCCCTTTTGGAATTTTCTAAGTGCCCAGGGCGGTTAATAGGGATTATACGGTATAAGTAAAATACAAACAATTATAGCATAGCTTGCGGGGCAAATTGACAAAAAAAAGACACTTCAATTTGGCAAATTTATAAAGGAATAATTGACATTTATGTCATTAAGAGTTATCTCTTATCAGAGTATCAATGAACCCTAAAGGTTTCCAAATCCACACAATATAGGGGTGTGTCAATATATATCAATATGACCAATGATGACTGACACGGCTTTGCATTCTTGGAAAAAAAATTCATTGGGCCAAAATAAAATTATAGTTTGTTTGGAATTGCCTCCCGCCTCATTGAAATTGCCCCCTCCTGAAAAAATTTTATTGACCAAAAGTAGGAAGATTTTTTTTTATTTGATCAAATTTTTTGCCCATTACATGTATCACATGCACCATACAAAACACTGAAATATAGTGTCATATCTATGTAAAATTAGGTTTTTTTGTTGATGGTAGATACTTTTTTTAAAAGTCAGAAAATGTATTTACTATTTACTGAGACTTTTATCGAAAATTGAAAAAATTTTCTTCAATTTAAAAAAAATAAAACAATTTCCCTCCCTCCCTCCTGTGTCTGAAACCTTTCAGGCGGCAATTCCAAACAAACATTTTTTTAAGGATGGCCTTGTACACGTATATGCAACACATTATGAAAAATTTGATCCTCGTTTAAGTTAACTCTTACACAGGGCTTTTTAATTATAAAACATTTTTGCAAACTAATGTCTCTATTGTGGTTCTTTTAAGGATTTTTGGAATTTTTTCTGATATAATCAGATATTTAAAAAAATTCAACTGTTGGCTAATGTTGCCCAATTCTGGCCCACTCATCATAAAATCTACGTCAGGAAATTTACAGAATTTCTTCATTTTCAAATTTAGTTGGTATTTTACATTTATATTGTATCCCAAAATAAGCTCTATCTTCATTCTTCAGGCAATGTCATTGCCTCAGATATTTCAAATAATAAAAGTGATTTGTAACCTAAATATTCTGTATAAATTTTTTGGCATTGTAAAGTTGCACGATAAACAGTAAAACCTTGCTATAAAAAAGTCACTGGGACCTATGAAATCAGTTTGCTATATTTGTAATTTGTAACTGTAAACCAACTATTATTCACGTCATCTATTATTCGCGATTCGTCAGTTTGAAATGAATCCATAGCGATTAATTTTCACGAATAAGGAAACATTTTCTACAAAAACAAAGCAAAATAAATGGTTTGTGGCCATTAATATTCCCAGACCTGTTTACCCATACCGTTGTCTCTCAGTATTTTTGACTAGATTTGTCCATGAGGATTTGCATTTGCCAGTAAGATTTCACTTTCCATCAATATGACATATACCGGTATTTAAAGATAACAACTGCTTTTCTGATTACAAAAATATGGTTTAACAACATGGTCTTTGTCAATTTCTATAATACCACAGCATTTTGGCAACCCAACATCATTTATATGTTTGAAATCTTTCTCTTTTTTAGCGATTAAAAAGTGTTAAACTAAGACAGATCATAACAAAAACTAACTGCTTAATTCCAAACCAACGTACTTCTGACTTTTGTATTTTCATGTTAGTGAAATGTGAGACATATTTTAAACTAAAAATCCGTACAAAATATGGCAAAATCATAAGAGTAAACAGGTCTGTATTTGCGACTTAAAGTAGGTCGCAAAACTTGCAAATATTTGTCGCAAGCGAATAAAAGTTGGTTTACAGTATATTCGTAAATGGAATTCGTTAAATTTATATAGCTGGCGATCCAAGATAACTTCACTATATCCATGATATCTGTATATTTGCAATATTTGTGTTGGTATTAAAGAGTTTTACTGTACATCCTTCTCCAGCCAAAAAAATACTAAGAAGTATTTGTGCAGCACCTGAAGTATTGATTAATGCTTACATTAGATACACACAAGATTGCCTGGGTATGCTGTATAAGGTCACCTGGGGTATAAACTAGCTCTAAAAATCTCACAACAGTACTTATCCAAAATATGTAAGTCAGATACATCATCACTAGGCAAAGCATGGTCTATATTTAAATCTTACAAGTTAGGTCCGAGTAGGGCTTATAAATGCTTGTAAGATAATATTGCTTATTTTCAAACATTAGCATTGAAAATGTTGAAGATGATGTTCTTTTTTATCTTAACAAGGGTTACCATCTAACAAGTCATTTTATTGGCAAAATGAAAAGTGAAGATCTCAAATTGCAAAAATGAGGCTTAATCAAGTAAGTAGAATATGAGAGTTAGCAACATATACCAAAGAGTTTTTCTGACGGAAGTTTGTGGTACTTACTGACATATAATTTGTTGTAACATCACTTATAAGTGTCCCATTTATTGCTTTCTCCATCAAATCTGCAATAATGATAAACAAATATTTTAGACAAAGATTATAGTCTATAGCACATAATACATGTAAAGGTGACTTACTAAAAATATCAGATATATATATTATTTCAAGAAATGTTTTAACATATTCAACAAAAATACTACAATACTGATATAAGTACAAGTACTTAACAAACATGACAAAAGTATAAAGTACTCAACAATATATAGTGCTACAATACTGTACAACAATAATGATTTTGATATTGACAGTGAAATTTTATGAAATGGTATTGCACGTTTTTCATATGTATACATACCCCATGGAATTCCATAAGGAAAAACTGCCCCATTGATAAATGCCTTGGCAAAATTGTACAGAGGTGTAAGTCCTGATGCATCATATGTAATGCTCCCCGCTGTGTAAGAATCATAGGTGGGTAATGGTCCCCACGTAATGGAGCTATTGGCGTTGGCTGAATTTCCCCCCGAATCTGTCACTATCTCAGGTGTTAACACTGGATCTGCACTGAACCCTCCACTAAAACAAGTCAGGAGGAGCACTACCCCCACACAACACTTCATCTCACTACCCATTGTAATTATAACACCTGTATAAAGGTAAATCTTGTCTCTGTCACATTTTGTGGCTCCAGTCCTCTGCCTTGAGTGAGTAGTTTCAGGAATGAACAACAATACTTTGGTTCACCTTAAAGTAACAAAAAATCAATAGACAGGTAATCACAACATCTTCCTTGCAGTCTGCATTTTACCTTAGCACAAAGCAGATATGATGTAACTGTTAATTTAAAATCAATTACACTTTGCCGCAGGGACGAGTAAAAAAAAAATCTGTGAGAAATACCCAATCGTCAACAGAACTGGGAAATGTATCATGGGATTAAGTTGAAAATGACGTACATGTCAAAGAGCCATCTAATTTTGTATGCACATGAACAAATTTACTCCAGTTAATCCAAGTCCAAGTTTGTTCTGTACAAATAAATCAACATAATACACAATAAATCTGTTAGTGTGAGTTGTAATCTTTTATTCTTAGGGGAGGGAGATGAAACTATCAATTTGATACAAGGAAAAGGAACTCTTCAAAACATTTTTGGGTCTGTGGGTTCAATTCTTTAACTTCCATGTTTTTTTGGAAGTGGGTGGTGGGGGGGATCAAACAGCTATCTTAAAAAATTATTCTTTAGTAACACTTTTATTTTATTGATTAATGTTAATATGGGTATCTAAGTATTAACTCTCTGAATTAAAGTGTCAGTTTTCAGCATTGATAACATTTCTACAAATAAATTACTGAAAATTGTGTTTCTTAAATTTTTATCATAAATAAAACTAGCAGCAGATCTGTAGCTCTCCGAAAAAAAAATATATTGACAGACCGGAGAGCTACAGTGCCACCCATTGTAAAAACAAGTTCAGCTAGAATCCACCTTTAGGACATTAAAATTAATCAAATATATAAAAATTATACATAGATAATTAATTCATTTAATGATAGAATGACTGATATCATTTGCTATTAATTATTTTTATGAATTGCATGAATTAATATAGGTGTGAGCAGTCTAATTATTCATAAAATCAATTAGAATTCCTCATGTTACTCTGACATAACAAAAATGGGAGTGTGGAGGCATGTGTTTGCGTGACTCAGGAAGAAAATTCAATAGCTTATTGTACACTACTGCAGATACACAATGATATTCTTCTTAGGATAATTAATATTAACTATATTTACTACCCGTTAATGATATCCACGTCATATTGCAAATGTTATAATTGTCTTTTATATATTTGATGAACACTTACCTAGCTATTAAATTGTGAACATTGCAATTCCAAGAAAGCAGAAAAGTAAGAAAATTTCAAGGTATCAACATGCTGTAGTGTACACATGAGTGATTCACTAAGGTGACCTTTAAAAAATCTGCTTTTAAAATAAGAACACACCCATTTAAAAAAAATCTAGAGAGATGTTTTTCACTGCCATCACTGCTAAAACACATATTTATTGTAAAATTTTCATTATTATCAAATTACTACTTTTTAAATACTGATATTCAATGTCAAAACGTGACAAAAGGAAATCCCCCCAAAATTTGACATGAATCAATTTTTCAAAACTCATTTTTTCCCATAAACATCATAAACACATGATAGAAGAATTTTTAAAAATTAAATAACTGTGGGTGGAGGGATGAATGATGGTTATCAATTAAAATTGTTTCAATTCTCTTACTAAATAAGTTCAGTCTTAGTTATCCAGTCTTTTGTTATAATGACTGATCAAATTTTTTTTTTTTCATAAACATGATAAATAAAACAGACTTGCCTACCAATTGTATTGCAGATGTTTAAACTTTAATCTAAAGCCTTAATCGTATTAATTTTGGGGAATTTCAGAGGCTTCACTTTTAAACATTTTTTCTCTGGCTCCCCCTTTTAAATCGGATGCTTCGTCTCTGATATGTCTAGTACGTTTGTGTATTGACCAACGATTATACTTGATACAAAAAAAATAATAATAAACATTTATCATTTTCATCCCAACAGACCTTGTACAAATAAGTTTAAATGTATTATCATAATGATAAATTAATAAAATTTTAATTATACGCCAAACACTGTTTGAAACAGACGACATTTTAAAAATCGTACCATACATTAAAAATAACTCATTCTATAATATCCCTTATATTTAAATGCACTTTATGCTTATAATTAAATAAAATATTAATTAAATCTATCTTAAAAGCTTTTCTACAATTAGAAATCAATAAAGTCAACATGGTCAATAGAAAACACTCGATTGACCAAGCCATGAGCTATTCGTTCGCTGTACAGGTTCGCTCACGCCAGTCATGGCTTGGTCCGCTATGCTAACGTATAGCTCATGGGTTGGTCAATCGAGTGATTTCTATTGACTTCATTGATAAAATTGCGAACTCCTGTGCTAGAAATTAATGAATGTCAATACACCTATTCATTTTCTCCCGCGTCTTCCCAACACACAGGAACTCTTATGCGCTTGATAAAAGAGAAAGCCAATCAATGAAGGCAAGCGGTATATCTAGTCTTCCCGACTCCCGACGGTCCCGGATTTTGATTTTTATGCGATTTCTCGTTTCAAGGTGCATAGAAACTATTCAAACTTTTCAGACATGTTTACTAGGTTTAAATGAATTCATGAGTACGTAAAAACTTTTACAAATTTATGTATTTTTGACTGAACCAGATGTTTCACCTGCCAAAAAGCGGTAAATCTAGTACAAGCTACAAACAGCTCAGTATTACGTTACGCTACAACTCCATATCATGTGGCGTTATTCGTAGGGAAAGTAGTCCCGGAGAATCGACACTGTATGGAGTTTGAATCTAGTACTCTGTTATAAGTGTTAAAACCAAAAACGGACACCGAAGTTTTCGTAGAATCGCGATTAAAAACAAGAAAATGAAGTATAATTTTTCAACAAATAAGCGGAAAGCCTCATTTATATGCCAGATAAATTACTTGCCCTAAAAACACCCACATATTTTCTTTTTTTCCGTGTATAGAACTCATTGTCACATTATGTTCACAGGCTCTTCGTACCTCGGAGCCCCCCCTTTTATTTATTTATTTATTTTTTTTTATTGAATTTACTTTTTGTTGATTGATTTTCAATTTACTCTAAATTGTACTTATCGTAGGAAAACCTACACAATGACAAAAACATGATCAGATTACCGGTAATTAATATTTTAAGGACAATGGTTTGTTCCCAGTTACAAGTTTTAGAATTATATTAACATGGTTAATAGCTTTGATTTAGCAGCAGTTTACCATACTTAATTACCTTTTTTTAATTTGACAGAATATCTCTTCGTTTTCACCGTATCAGCTAGGTGATTAGGAAATTAATTATTTTACCCAAGCTAACACTACTTTAATAAAGCTTTTATAATAAGTCATTATCTTCTTCATTAACATGTAAAAAAAAATCTATGATTGAAATTCTTAAGGAACCCGACTTTAAAAACTTTTCATATTTTTTTAACACATCCAATTTAACTGAAATACCAATTCTATCTTATTTAAAGAAGAAATACCTTCCCAAATAATATCAATATTATCTTGATTATGATCTACGAAACCTCACGTCTCCGCTCATCGCTATACAAGTATCGATAATAAATGAGCATAACTAAATTTTAATTTAAAAAAGAAAATATGTTAGTTTTAGTGTGTACAAATTATCTGGCACGTAAATGAGGTTTTCCAGTTATTTGTTAAAAAAATTATACTTCATTTTGTTGTTTTAATCGCGATTATACGAAAACATCGGTGTCCGTTTTTGGTTTTAACATTTACAACAGAGTACTAGAGTACTAGATTTACCGCTTTTTGGCAGGTGATACTGCTGATTCAGTAATAAAAAGACAATTTTCCTTAAGTTTTTATGCATTAATGTATTCATGTAAGCCTAGAAAATGTGCCTGGGAAGTTTGATTCAATTCTGTGCACCGGTAAAAAAGAAATCGCTAAAAATCCCAAATCCGGGACCGTCGGGAGTCGGGCGTCGGGAGTCGGGAAGACTAGATATACCGCTTGCCATCAATGAATTCCCGGTTATGATGCGCGAAACATGATCATTATGCATGTTCACATACTGATATATAATGTTAAGATATAGACAATAAGCCAATAATTATTTCCTAAAAGTAGTTGAGATGAATTACTCTTGAAGTGTATTTGAATGAAAAATCGGAGATTCAAAGCCAACTGGTTATAGAAAAAAAGTTGCTCAGAAGCGCATATCCACGGTCCGGAGTCCGCATATAGCTCTCCAGATGGGAGAGGAGCGTACATTTTGGCCGTGGTTTGCAACGATGCGCATATATAGCCTAAATATAGGTCTAGGATTTAACAAATAAAGGTCGAAGCTTGTGCAATGCCAAGATTGTTTGTCCGAATAAATTTGCAAAAATCTTGCCAATTTTCGCAGTGTTTGTATTCTTCTTGTATGCTTGTGACCATGGTCGAAAAGTAAACTGATACACAAATTTGTAAATTTGTTTTGACGCAGATCTAGAGAGGTGTATCTGTTTCCACAACCATCTTTTTAACAACCCTTGGAATTTTTCCATGTCGCCACAATAATTAAAGCTCTTCATCATGTCAACATGCTAATATTTTTAAATACCCTGTTTCAAACAATTGTTATAATGACGTTTGTTTTGCGATTATGAACAATTCTGAGAAAACATGGTACCTAGAAAACATACTAGTAGTACCAGGGAAAGGGGAGGTGTGGAATAACTGGGCCACTCAAAGGTTTTGGGACGGTTTTGCATTTAATTTAGAGTGGAAACTTTACTACAAGGTCGATTCCCCCTCCAACCTCTACTCCTTGTGATTTTTTTTTGTAAGTAGCGGCCTTCGACCACCTCCCTCCTTTACTAAAATCAATTTATACAATACTTCGTGAGAATGCAGCAGTAAATAACAGAATATGTTTATTATGCGACTTGAATGATGTAGTAGACGTATTCCATTTTATATTATAATGTTCCGTATTTCAAGATCTCAGTGTTCAAAATATCAATGAAATGTCTAAATTGGGAAGATTTTTGTTCAGCGCTTCACAACGAAGAATAAATCTACTAAAATGTTTGTAGCTTATAATATGTATGTAAATATTTATT